TGCAATATTATTACTGTTTAAAATAACTATTTTAAGTTATTAACTTAAAATAACTTAAAATATATAAATAATATATTTAAAAATTTAATTTATTCCTGTGATGCAAAGCCAAATTAAATTTTCCTCATCATTATTCCTGTCTTTAGTGTCACATGATCCTTCAGAAATCATACTAATATGCTGATTTGCTGCTCAATAAACATTTCATATTATTAGTATAAATGTTTAAAGTTGTGCTGCTTCATTTTTTTCTTATGGAAACCAGGATACATTTTCAGAATTATTTAATAAATAGAATGTTCAAAACAACAGCATTTATTATAAATGTGTTTACTGTCGCTGTAGATTAATTTAATGCATCCTTGCTGAACTGCATTGTTTATTTATTTATAGAAAATAAAATAAAATAAAATACAATAAAATAAAATAAAATAAATAAAATAAAATAAAATAAAATTAATTAAATTAAATTAAACCTTACTGACCCCAAACTTTTGAACAGCACTGTATATCAGAAAAAGTGTCTTGAATTATAACCAATCATTAAACATTCACTTAATATTTTGGATGTCAAACACAACAAATATTATAAAACTTATAAAATTGTAATGAAAAAATATGTAATGTAAACATGTATGTAAAACAATACATATATGCATGTACACGAATCTGCTTGATTTTTTATTTTTATTTTTTTAGATAATGCCTTTGGGATTTCTTATTCAATTTTACACAGCCAAGCAGTTTCATAAGTACATTTTCGTTTCGTAACTAAATGAACTACAAGTACTTTTTCCTTCTAAAATTACGAAACCCAGCCACTCAATAATAAAAATAGGAAATCTATGTCTCTAGCACTCCGAACTGACATAACCAAGATTCTCCATGAAGCCTTCTTAAATAAATGGCCAACAAGCAATATACTGCAAGAGCAACGGTAGACAGGAAATTGTGTTTTACAATATTCGGGGCACAAAACAGTGGTACATCAGCAGTATTATTTCCAATTGTTGTCAAGGGAAGAAAGCAACAATTAAATAATGAAAAAAAAACTTAATTACGGATTCATTTTAAATAAACAAAACAGAGTGTGCTTTGAATAAAAGTATAATCTGTCAAAGTGATAATGTACTGTAAACTCAGCTGCATCACTGACACTGTAAGATGTCACTGTACTGCTCTGTGTTAGATCAACAGCAGTCATTCTTACAAAAACAACAAGACAATCAAAGAAGAGGATCACTCTAACACAGCCATAAGCTCATGCCGTCGTTCAGGATGAGGTCATTTATTACCTTAAGAGCTATCTGGTTCTTTGCCCTGGCTGCTTTGTGCAGGGCAGTCATCCCATCCCGAGAGCGGAAATCTAAATGAGCCCCACCGTTTTTCAATGTAACTATAATCTCCACCATATTGTCCAGGTGGGCCGCAAGGGTTAGTGGTGTCTCTGCAGACCAGAAGCACAAAAACAAGTTCATTAAAATGTATTAGGTAAATCTCTCTTAATAAACGTAAGACATTAGTCAAGGGATTTGTGTTTTATCAAAACAATAATTAGATTTAAATTAAATTAAATGTATAATATTGTACTATATGCGTTACAGTTGTGCTAAACAATAAAAAAAATGTAATATATAAATGACATTGTGAGACTGTAATTGCATCTTTATTTGGGACTTTAGACAATGTAAATATAAAGATAAAAGTAAAAATATAAATACCTTGTAAAAGTTTGGGGACAGTAAATTTTTTTTTCTAAGAAAACAAAACATTTATTTTTTTATGAATAAATTTAACTTATTCAGCAAGGATGTATTAAATAGGCCAAAAGTGATAGTACAGACATTTATACTGTTACAAATGTTTTCTGTCAAACAAATGTTCTTTTGAACTTTCTCTTCATCAAAGAATCTTGAAAAAATATGGTTTTCAAGCAGTACAACATTTTTAACATTGATAATATTTAGAAATGTTTCTTGGGCATCAAATCAGCATCTTAGAATGATTTCTGAAGGATCATGTGACACTTAAGACAGGAATAATGTGTGCTAAAAATTCCGCTTTGCAATCACAGGAATAAATTACATTTTAAAATATATTCAAATAGAAAACTGTTATTTTTCACAATATTATTGCTTTTACTTTTTATCAAATAAATGCAGTTTTGGTGAACATAAGAGACTTCTTTCAAAAACATTAGGAATCTTACTTAACCCCAAATTTTTAAATAATAGTGTATATAAATATAATAAACCTACATAATAAACCATATTGTTCTTTTGCAGAATATATCGATTATACAGATTAGAATATATAGAATATAGATATAGAGTTAGAGTATACTTTTAGTATTGTACAGATTTATAATCTCTGCCATCATATCCATTAACTGACAAAAAAAAAAAAAGAATTATTGCTAACAGTATTGGTGTATTCCAAATAATACATGCAATGCAACACAGGATATGGCCATGAGATTAAATCAGTGAGTAAATACGTTAAATATAAACTGCTTAAATACAATGTAATGGTCCAACTACACCATATTGATTAAAAAGGAAACAATATAATGATGCAGTAAAGTAATCAATCTGGAACTGTAGCTGGGGAACAAAGCCTCAATAGTCATTTATGTGCAATTTTGGAGTTTATCTAATATGGCATCCCATACCACCAGTTTCAGGGTCATGATAGTTGGGGTCCAATCCTCTTTCCAACATCTTGGAGACTTTGTCCACCTGATGATGCTGGATATACTCCATAAATTTCCTCAGGTTGACCTAAAAGGAGGTTTGAGAGAGAACAAGGGTGCAGGTGAGGTTAAACAAGAAACACTGACAGCTAATGATTGAGGAGGAAGTTAAGATACAGGAGCGAGTGATGGGAATGAATGGTTGGCAAGAGTGTGAAGGGTCTCTGCTCACTTCCTCTCTCATGTTGAGATCTCTGGGACACACATGCCGTGATACAAGGCTGGATAAAAATAGATAGGAGAGCAGCTCCCAGTACAGAGACATCAGAGAGAGAGAAAGAGAGATTCACAAGAAACAACAAGTTTAAAGTTGTTAAACAAGAAAACACAACTTCAATATTTATTAGGTGAAAAACAAGATTGTATCTTACTAGCAGCAAGATACATTGATGCCTGTCACAAAAAGAGGGAGGAGTCAACAAATCAGTGATGCGCCCACACGCACACACACACACACACACCACACACCACACACACACACACACACACACACACACACACACACACACACACACACACACACACACACACACACACACACACACACCACATTGAATTATAAATTGTTCGTAGAATTCTAAAGTGTTAATTTGTTCTACTTTTTAAATGTATATACATGCATGTTTTTGTTTCATATATACAGTATCTGTTCTAGATTCAATGAATAGAGAGAGAGAGAGAGAGAGAGAGAGAGAGAGAGAGCACAGCTGATTTGGCAAGGCAAAGAGTTAGAGACCACTTGGCAAGCTACGGCATGCTACGAACACACGTCAACTCTTACACACAACACAGTACACACACGAAGACCTCCCAACACAATAGAGTAAGTGCCATATTCGCACAAAACATTGGAGTTTGCATTATTTAACTTCTGGATCCCGTCCTACCAACACTAGCTTTCAATAATTCACACCTCGATGCTTGCTAACAACTTTAAACCCATTAGGCTAACTACAATGTAGAGATGTCACCTAGTGCAATGACAACATTCATCCTCTTACACTGTAAAAAGTACTTTGTGAGTGTTAGCTTACAAAAATCACCTAAAACTTGTTTATTCATTCAGAAATATTATAATAAATATGAATAATTCAACCTGAAAATGTTAGCGATTAAAGTTTGAGCGGTTAGCATAGTTAGCATAATTAGCCTCTGCTGGGAGATGCCTTAACTACACTTTTTTTATGGTGAAAAAAGCATTCTCCATTGATAGTAATTTAAAAGTAGCCATATATTCTGATCAAATACAATTTCTGCAACATATAAATCGCAAATATTTCATAAAATCACGCTACCTTTGTCATCATAGCTCAGGACAGTTGCTAATAAATGGCTTGTCCATGTTCTTGTGCTGTCATTTGCCAGGTAACGTTGTCAAAAATAATAATAATAATAACCGGGACTAATGGTGCGTTCATGGTAAGTTTGCATTGACGAGTTGAGGAGTCATAATTATGACATCAGGTGATTTCAGATCACTTTGGTGACCTTTTCTACAAAAAAATATAAAAATACAGTCACTACTTCTACAAAATGCTAAATAATGAACGTGCATCAGTTATGTTTATTTTGTTTTTATTCAATTTATGAAGGCACTATATAACTGAATCGTTATAAATTTGTCATAATTGTACAATAATACTGCATTTTGTACATGCGACTTAGCTAGTTTTATTGTAAATTAAAAGTAATTTCATACACTTCAACAAATCGGCGATCTATTGCAAACACTTCATCCATTGCATTCGCCATGTTTTCTCACTGACACACCCGAAAAATTCTGGCCTCAAAGAAAATCCACATAATTGAGGTGGCGTTCATATGCGTTAAACTTTTAAATGCACTCTTTCCAAAATAAGCAAAGATGGCAGAATTAATTTATGCACCAGCCGAGCAACTACCATTGAGTTCAATTGAGTTCAAACAGCCGGCTTTCTTCAGTTATTAAAGTTCACCTTGGGTTACGCCAATAAAAATTATTGTTAAGAGTCTGATCAGGTAGAAATATCTCTTTAAGGTAACAACTACACGTTTTAATTTTTTATAATGCAGTCAGATTTTAAAAGCAAACCCCTCTAAGCGTTTGCTTCCATTGAAAGTATTATGCACTGACATTCGGTATGATCTGAGGTGAATATCTGCTCAGACGAAACAAGGACGTACACAAAGCTGTTCCTACGTCATCCTTTACAAACCCTGCCGGCTTACGGAGCTATAATATAATAACTTATTAAGGGAGCTTGAAACCTCAGAGCAATGAGAGGGAGAGTTTTAAATGCTGAGGGAAGCAGTGTGGGGACGGGAGATAAATAGGCTGAGCAATAAAGAGAAAGAGATCGAGCACAGCACAGGACATACAGTGCTGGAAGAAGCCGGCAATTAAAACTTGGTTCGGAGCTTCGGGGCTGCTTTTGGGGGAGAAGCGTGGAATAACCTCCTCCGGTGATTGCAAAAACGTTCATGACCACAGAGGAAAAACTGGCCGAAACACTAAAACGTCAACATCAATGACCATCTCGTCCCGAAAATCCTGCTAAGTCCAAATGTATGCAAATGCTCCGGTCTGCTGCATTATTTAGCAGCAGACTCTAAAATGAATGTTGTACGTTAGATATTCAATCTTAGCAACAGAAAACTAGATTTTCAAACATTTCTTTCCTGTTTTAACAGCCGTATCCCAAGACGCCCTCTTCTGCTTGCAATTAAGCAAATAGCTTCTATTTGATATGTATGCAAAAGACTCAGTTATCATAACGGAACATAAGTTAATCACCACCTGCACATCAAAAATAGACACATTTTGACAAATATGCATAGTAGGCTAATCTACATATGTCAAAGCAACATTTTTACCAAAAAAATAAAATCTTACCTGTGTGTGGAGTTTTTCAATTTGCTTTTCGTTGACGTTTGGCTGCTGGTACACTCTGCTCTTGTAGCGGAACTGCAAAATTAAATCAGAGAGAAAAATGCAGTCTTTTTATATGCTAGATTGGTTTCAATTTAGAAATTAATAAGTATTCTATGGACGCCCATTTCCACCACTGAATAAAAAATAAAAAAGTTAATTGCAAACTTGTTTCTCATAATTGCGTGATACAAACTCGCAATTCTGACTTTTTTTCTCATAATTGCATGAAACAAACTCGCAATTCTGACTTTTTTTTTCTCAGAATTGTGTGATATAAACTCGCAATTGTGCGTTAAAAAGTTATAATTGTGAGCAAGTGTGCCGCACGAGTCTTAAAAAGTTAAGCCATTGCGTTTCGATCGCCCCCAGGTGGCTGGTCCCAGTATAGGTCATAAATCCCGCCCTCTCCATGCAATCTAATGGAACATGGGACAAACTAAATAACATTTCACTTCAAATAATTTTTTTTCCAAAGATGGCTTTTGTCATTTGATGTAGATTTTATCACGCTGATGTAAGTTCAAGTGTTCGTTTTTTAAATAATTTTGGTTTTAGTTAGTTAAGTGATGCTATAAAAACGGGAGCGTGACGTCATGATTGACAGCTGAGACTGACAGCTTCTCTGAGTGAACTGAGGTGCCAACTGACTTTTTCGGGATCTTTAGGAGGATATTGGAGTTGTATTTACCTTATTTTAACAATCCTCTCAGCAGACAAAAACTGGAGCAGTCAGGCTAATTAAAACAGGGTCAGGGGCGTATGCTTGCAATCGACTCTGCGGGAGTGTGGGAGTTTTTATCTCGCAATTGTGACTTTATATCTCGCAATTCTGACTTTATAACTCGCAATTGTGAGTTTATATCACGCAATTCTGAGAAAAAAATTCAGAATTGTGAGATAAAAAGTCGCAATAGCCTTTTTTTTTTTTTTTTATTCAGTGGCGGAAACGGGCTTCCATAGTATTCAGTCTAACAAATTAAACATTTTGACGTAAAATACACTTACAATAATCTAGAGCAGGGGTGTCAAACTCAGTTCCTGGAGGGCCACAGCCCTGCACAGTTTAGATGCAACTCTAATTAAACACACATGATCCAGCTAATCAAGTCATTAAGGCTTATTTGAAAACTACAAGGTATGTGTGTTGGAGCAGGGTTGGAACTAAACTATGCAGGGCTGCGGCCCTCCAGGAACTGAGTTTGACACCCCTGATCTAGAGATAATACAGTTTTAACTAAAAAGTACCATGGTGAAATGGTATAAAAATGATTAAAAATATCATGGTACCTTAATAAGACAATTATTTAGAACCCTATTTTATATCAGAGCACTAAAGTATTATGTTACCATCACGTTTTTTTGTAATCAAGAGGGCATACAAATAATTTATAGAATTTTTTGCTCAAACAAATGATAAAATAAAAATATGTTTCATTATACGCCATTTGCAGCTCTTTTTGGCTGGTCTCTGCCTTGATAGAGATATGATTATATCAGGCCCTGGGGCTTGAATGAACATACAAGAGAACTACAAAAGGTTCCTGTTACACCAGCCTGACATCAGCCTTTTCACAGAGAGAGCTGAGAATGCTCCTGTACAGAAAGCACATCTTAAAAAAGGACGCCAGCCTCATATCCCTGCATTGGTAGCAATTTATAGCAGTTATCATCACTGTCAAAACTATTTTGTCATTGGGACATAAATAATCATCCTTGACATAAATAATAAATATGAATGGATATTTATACTCACAATTACATTATTTTGATTACTTATATTAATTATTGTTCATGTTGATTACAACAAACAAACAACTATTAGAATTTTTTTTAATTATAAAATAAATAAATACAATTTTATAAAAACAACAATAAATGCTGTGTTTACAGCAATGCACTGAGAAATGATTAATGAAGAAATCTTAAATAAGGACCCCAACTTTACATTGCTGTATTGGTAGCAGTTTATAGCAGTTATCATCACGGTCAAAAACCATTTTGTCATTGTGATTTTCCTTGACATAAATAATTATGAATGGGCATTTTTACTCTTAAATAAATTATGTGGATAATTATTGTTAATGTTGACTGCAACAAAAAACTATTCAGATTTTTTTTCTTTAATTGTAAAAATGTATCAATAATATTAAATTAAAAAAAACAATAATAAAATCTGTGTTTACGGTAATGCATTACAATGGAAGTCTATGTAAGCATATTACACTCCCAATAAATGTATTTTGCTAATTATTAATGATTGTTGATGATGATTACCAATTCTAATGATCCATTAATTGTTAAAAAATAATAATAATAAATGTTTTTGAAAAACTAAAAAGAATATGCATGGTCATTTCTTCTCAAAATAAAATTATTCTGATTTTTTATATTAATTATTGGTCATGATTACCACAGAAATCAATTTTGGTTAGTTCCTTAATTTAATAAAAAAACATGAATGAATGAATGAATAGCAATAAAACAATGATAAAAGTTGTTTTTATACTAATGTACTGTCAATGGAAGTCTAGGGGGCAAGTATAAAAGCATAAATACAAAACTCACATATTTGTCAAAGCACTTCAATTGATTGTTTCATACAAAAACGTGTGCTATTTGAGCTTTAAAGTTCAGTGATGGCACTGCTGTTCTAGGCAGATTAACTTCTAGTTCAGCGTCTACCAGCATAATTCCTGTGGATGTTTGTGAAAGTGCTTTGCAGATAGTGATGTCCCATGTCCATTTCTGGTATCCTTGCACGTATTGTGTCAAAGTTACATCATGGATCGAGCTTAAGTTGACTCCGCAACATTCAAGCAACAAACTAGTGACGCGTTACCTCAAGGGTTGGAACGCCTTTATTGGTGGATAGCGGATAGTCTCTCAGGGGCCGTTCTTCCTCCAGGAAACCACTCTCCCTCCCGTCCACCGCTGGCTGGAAGAGCCCGTAGTTGAGCACATCCCTCAGACTCTGTGTGAGTGTACACAGGATCTGCTGCTTAGCAACCCATACTGTGGCATCAGGACTGAACCTCATGGATTTCTGGCAAAGCCACAGAGAGAGAGAGAAGAGAGAGACAGAGAAACGCTCTATCAGGCCATAGCAGGTGTACAGATTAACTAGGGGAAAACATTTGTGAGCTAAAATGTTCAAAAGGGAGAAAACAAATCATGTGTTATGACGTTATTTGGTGTTGGTTGACTGACAGAACGACATTTTATGATCAAGATCAAATTTAATTGGTTATATCATACATTTTTTTAGCATTTTTGTGGGTCCCTGAGGTCATCATTTCATTTCTCGTGTACATTTCAACCCTTTTTTGACCTTACAAATTAACCAGTAATAAGTGTTTAGGTGCAGTCACATTATTGAAATGTCAGCGGGCAGAAAAGATTGATTGTCTATTGTGAATAGTGTAGCGATGTATGAAACAGCTCACACAGAAGTCACTTTCAAACTAAGTAGTTTTCGATTGATTAGCTTGAACCCTTGTTGCAAAATTTGGTGGAGGAATCTTTCACCCTCAAACAAAAGTCCCCATTGCATGGATTCCTATTGAAATTACTTGAGTTTGCCCTTAGAACAGCTGTAGAAGTGACTGTACCATAAAGGAAAAGTTCACCAAAAAATGAAAATGTACTCACCCTCAGGCCATCCAAGATGTAGATGAGTTTGTTTCTTCATCAGAACACATTTGGAGAAATTTGGCATTACATTACTTGCTCACAAATGGATCCACTGCAGTGAATGGGTGCCGTCAGAATGACAGTCCAAACAGCTGATAAAAACATCACAATAATTCGCAAGTAATCCACACTCAACTCGAATCCATTAATTAACATCTTATGAAGTGAAAAGTTGTATGTTTGTAAGAAACAAATCCATAATTTTCAACTTCAAACCATTGCTTCATGCTAAAAAATACAAGTCCTCTATCTATAATATGGCTTTCACCAGTGAAACGGTCATCTTGTCTGAGTCAAGGTAGAAATATGTACAAATCAAGCACAATTTATAAGTGAAAACAGTCCAAAACAATTCTAATCAAATATGATTATGATGTGAGAGGACAACAGCGGGTGCACTTTTACACTAGAGAAAGAGCCATTGTGGATTATGGACTCTATTTTGGCTAGCAGTGATGATTTAAAGTTAAATGCCCTAATGATGGATTTGTTTCCTACAAACATTCAGCTTTTCGCTTTATAAGATTTAAGATTAATGAATGGACTAGAGTCGTGTAGATTAGTTGTGGATTATTGTGATGTTTCTATCAGCTGTTTTGTCTCTCATTCTGACGGCACCCATTCACTGGATCCATTGGTGGGCAAGTGATGTAAATGCTAAATTTCTCCAAATCTGTTCTGATGAAGAAACAAACTCATCTCAGATAATTGACTTTAATAGTTCAATAAACGAATTACATTTTTAGCCATTTTTAATACTTGGGTGAACTGTTCCTTTAACTGTACTTTAAAGGCACATAAAATTAAGTTTTGTGTCTTTTAGCCCATATGGAGGCTTTGAAATCATTTATATATGCTGCTGGTATTGTAAACTCCTAAATACTTACAAAATTCCCTTTCAGCAGATATAGGCATTCAAAATGTACACTCTTTCACTTCAGGTAAAACAAACTATAAATATTAAAGACTCAACCTGCACTGCACAGATTTCTGTCCAATCAAATGCTCTCCCAGAATGTCCTTCCCACTAATGCAATCTGCAGATAACTAGCATATTTAGCATATATTGACTAAATTGAGGTGCCCTTCGATACGTCCCACCTGAATGTCTTGTTTCTTGGAATACAATAAAGAATACTCTTATCAGAATAACAGCATCTTGTTCATTTTGTGTTTAGAGCTAATAAAATCTATCCTACCTCCTCCTTATTCCCTCACTGTGACAGTATTGTTGACAAGTAAATGCAGAATATGGAAAACTAAGATAATTGTAACGCTCAATAAATGTAACACTGGCAATAACTTGCACAATATACTAACCATAACCACATCAGCTATGCGCAAACACAATTCAATCCTCTGCTTCCTCCCAAAATAACAGTTTCAGTAATGACAGACAGATATTTTTAAAGATCCTGTTTTGAGAGAGAGCAATAAAAATTCCTTGGTGATTTTCGGTTTTAATTTTATTTACAAATAAATCAAAATCTATATAATTTTTGGTCTGATTTGGTTTCAATTTTATCTGGCTTGCTTGAGTGTTACTGCAAAGGAATAACCAATAAAACTATTACCTTCACATATTGAAAACACCTGCGTTAAATGACTCTACATGATATTGCTTTTCTGAACTTTCTTCATTTAAAACATGACAATGTAATTTTCTACTTTACGTGCATGAAATAGGTCAAAAATACTTGTTGCCTATCCCACTTGCATACGTTCCATTTTTTAGTCCACTAAAACCCAAACAGCTCTCCAGAGAAGGCTGAAACTGTAAGAGGGAAGCAATTTACTGTAATAATATAATTTAGAAAGATCCACATGGCCCAACAGCCTGGGGTGAAACACGAGAGTGAGTGTGTGTGAGTGAGTGAGTGAGTGTGTGTGTGTGTGTGTGTGTGTGTGTGTGTGTGTGTGTGTGTGTGTGTGAACGCACAGACTGCTGCAGGTCAGGGATGACCACACAGATGAGCATTGTGTCTCGCAGGCTGTCGTCCAGTCGGACGCTGGTAGGTCGATCCAGCCTGGGAGGCTCATCTCGGGAGCTATCTGATTCCGAACTGACCGAGTCCGAGAAACTTTGAGCCATTTCCTCCTCGCTAGACATGGGGCTCCGCGGCATGATCAACACTGCAGAAAGAGAGCAAATTTGAGAATAAATTCAATGGCATACAGAAAGCCTAAACTAAAAACTAAAGCAAACTAAATTAAATTAAACTAAAATAAAATTAATAAGATATTATTTGCCTGTATTTCAAAGCAACATTGCAATGTAACAAAACAATGTAACCTTGTAAATGTGACATGCAGATAAAATCAACAATAATTTATAATGTAAAGATTAACATGAACTGAAAGCTGCAGCACATAAATTAATAAAATTCTAATTGCCAAAATACATTTAAAAACTGCATTGCCACTAACTGTCTTTATAAAATGGCATTGAAAATAAAATAAAGTACCAACTTTAGAATTGCTAACTGTAATATAAATTGGAATATATACAGGGCTTGACATTAACCTTTTTGCTCACCAGCCACTGTGGCTAGTGGTTTTCCAAATTTACTAGCCACTCAGCATTTTCACTGGCCACAATTTTGTTGTGAAATTACATTTTATATGACTTAATATTGCATACAAAAATGTATTTAAATTGATTTCCAGGTCATTTTTGGCCTATTTAAAGGGCATTCCCTGACTGTATTAAATGCATGCATCATCTTTCATATCAAATTCTTACATTTTATTAATAATTTCACTAAATATAATAAGACAATATAGGTCTGTTATCAATCAAATGAAATCAGTATCTACAAAATTGATCTTTCCACTGCTGAAGAAACAGAAGTGACTGGAGTGGCATTCAAATGCATTTACAGACAGTTCAATGTAGCTGAAATGTAGCACGAATGCATTTACACTGTAAATGAGAACGTATGAGAACTTTTTGGGAACGTCATATTAACTTGTGGGAGCATTTTGTCGAGATAATCATATGGAGATGAAGACATCCTGGAATCGCCGCGCGGCTGCCGCCTTCTCTCTTAGTTGGAGTGTTTTGTGCGGTCTCGGGGAAGACATTGCCATAGTTACAAACAACAAGGTCACATTTGATTTTACTAAAAATAAACAAAACATAACAGAAATTCAGTATATGTGTTATTTGCTATTCATCTACTCTTCCCCGTGGATAACCTCTGACCTACTTTCTGTACGATCTGAATTTCTGCGTATTGAATTTTGAATTTGATGTTCCGAATTTCTTCTTCATCTTGAAAACTTGAAGCTGTATTTTTAAAAACTGGATATTTGCAGTCTAATAACTCGAAACAAAAAAAATCTGCTGTTTGAAAATACATGTCTATTAAAAAAAACTGCCATAAAAAATTAATTGTGTTAAATTTCAAATGTTCAATATTCAAGTTTTAAAAAATCTAATTCAGAACTATGTTAAATGCCACATAAAATTCAGTTTTGTTAAATGACACTTGTCAATAATTCAAATTTACACAATTCAAATTCAAATAGTTTTGTCATATTATAAGCTCCATATTTTTTAATATACAGATATGAAATGTTGGAAAACTTGCAAAGATAAGCTACTATGAAAGTAAACCGCCAGTAAGTAGCAGCAAGTGACTGTCTTAATTAATGAGTCATTGAAGCGTGCCTGTCTTTATGAATGGAACACTGAATTGACTCAAATGATTCAAAATTCAAAAACGCGAATCATTCAGTAACGAAACACCAGTGTTGCTCAGAAATACGCGACTGTTTCTGCTGTGATCTTTGTTTGGAACTATTTTCATTAACCAAATCGAGCAAAAACAGTCAACGCGCTGACAATATATCCTTTCAAAAATTCAAATTCAAATATTGAACTAAAATGTATATTAACTACTCGTTTGAATTATTGTATAATAGCTAACGTTATGTCAAATTTGCAATTGTGGTTTTCAGGGAAAACTTTACTCTCTTGGTCGAGTCATGTTGCTTAGCTAGGCTATATGTTATAAATATAAAACCTAAGTTTCATTTTTATGTCTCTTCTGTGTGCAGTTGTGTTGATTTGTTTTAATTTCTCCAGACAGGCTGCGTGAACCTCAGCTGGCGTGACCTTGTTGTTACGGTTGACTATCCATTATCAACTGCCGTTTACACCGAATGTGTAAACGCCGAAATTTTGGTGCTTCCCTAATTAGATGTTTTAAGCAGATTAGTTGTCTGGGGCAAGTAAAATTCTCTTCTTTCACTGGTCCCTTAATGTCGAGCTCTGTTACTGTATATTAAATTCAACCCGCCAAAGTGGCTAGTAGGAGTGACCGTGTTACCCGCCACTGCTGAAATCCACCCGCAAAAGCAAACTAATTTTAACGCTCAAGTATAGCCGAAATCACAGCACCGCTATTGTCTTTATCTTATGTATTTGATTTTATCAGATGACGGCTCGATTATCAGGATTTTTGTGCAGATTAACGTCTTGGAAGGGAGAGCTGGTTATGTAGTCTTAATGGGTCGCGTTTCAGTCACTATTTCATATTCATTCGGTTGTCTGACAACAGAAACAGTAAAATATATCAATGAAAACTGTTTTATTGAGAATTTAGCTGCATCAAAATACAATATGTGGGCATAGAGAGGCAAACAAATGTAATAATAAATAATAAATGTGCATTTTGCATGTTCAGAAAAAGTGAGCTGCCCTGTCCTGCAAATAATGTAAACAGGCTTGTGCAAGTAAATTGCTCAGTGCAAAGAAATAGAAGTAATGGGAACCTGGTATTTCTATGTTCTTTTTTCATGTCTAGTAGACATGAAAAAGTTATTTGAAAAACATCTATGACCTCTGAAACATGTCTAGTCTTCATGCTCTATGTTGAATATGGTTTCAACTGTATATATATAAAAGTAGATCTATAAAAGGTCTATAAAAGTAGAAATACACTAAAATAAAATAAAGTAACAACTTTAGAATTACTAACTGTTATATAAATTGAAATATATATATAGGAAAATAAAATTAAATATTAAACAATATGCTGGAAAATAAAATATTGCATAATATCTGGAATATAAATTGATCAAAGAAAAAATGTAATAAAATAAAATCCCAACTCTTTTCTTGATTAGAAGTGGGTCCTTTGATGGACCATTGTCCAACCTAGACGATGTCAGCTGAAAAGAAAAGTCATTTCAGATGGTGAAGCAAGCTATTATATCTTGATGAAAGATTAGCAAGACAAACTTGTCATTACTTCAGGATAATATGACCAATGAATCATGCACAATAAGACCAGGAACATATTAATAAAGTAAAGAGGGCCAATTTTGATTTGCTGTTGACTTGAGTGCTTATTATTCCCATACATCATAATTTCTTATTACTGTCTGGTCATTTAGCTCCACTTGTTTATCTCTCTGTGGCCTTTTGTGAATTCACTGGGTTCACCAAATGTTTCTGAACAGTCCCTCTCTGCCCAGACTGAACGCCTTTATATTTCGTCCGCGGATGACTTCAGGAGCTCAGCGGTACACTGAAATGTCAGACTGTATATCACGTCATTTTAATATTTCTACTCCATCTTTTGGGTCTTTGCTACCTGGCAGGGATAATTGAACTGACTCACTAGAAGAAAATGAAAAGGCCTTGTTTATCACAAACTTGGTTCAATGAACAAATCAGCCACATTAACTTAAAATATACTTTGTTTGTTTTCATTAATTGCTTCTAAGTACTGTAGATCAAAGAAACATTAGTGTATCGTAACAATGCAGCATTTACATGCAGATAAAATCAACAATAATTTATTATGTAAAGGTTTGTATTGTGTTTGTATTGTACTTTAAGCTGTAGCATATGAATGAATATAATTTTAATTCCCAAAATACATTAAAAAAATCCCCTTGATTCGCCTATTGTCTTCATAAAATGGCAGTGAAAATAAAATAAAATAAAAACTAAATAAAATAAAAATCACCCTGAGTGTCCTGTTGTTTGTATAAAATGACAGTGAAACAAACAAAAGAACAGGAAATTATAATTCTAAAAAAAAAAAGAAAAAGAAAAATATATTATAATAAAATAATATAATAAAATATCAAATAAAATAATATAAAATAAAATAAAAAACTTTAAAATCTGTCCTACACTACTTTTTATAATTTGACAGCAAACCTAACAACAACAAAAAATTCAACAAAAACATAAATATAAATTGGAAAAATAAAATATTATTAAATAAAATGACACATTAACCAAGATGAGGGAAACTAAAATTAAATAAACAAAAAATAATAAAATAAGATAAATAATAAAAACCTTGAGTGTCCTATTGTTTTTATAAAATGACAGTGAAACAAAACAAAACAAAAAAAAAACTGGAAAATAAAACACAAAAAATTGCTTAAATATAAATTGTAAAATAAATTAATAAATATTTTGTAAAATAAAATAAAAAATGTATCCTAAAACTCTGTTTATTTTTAGCTAGATTTTAAATCCCACTTTAATGGGCTCACAGACTTTTGGACCCCATTGTATATTTCATTGCCTGTTTTTATTACATTGGACTAAAGGTTTCCAAAAGGGACAGATGGAGCTGTTTTCTGTGTCTTGGGTTAGCACACGCCATATTCCTGAAGTGTACACAAGCGTTAGACATCTCAACAGGATTTCTGAACGGCAAACAAAATGTCTGGGTGTTTGGGGGGAAGTCAGCAAGCAATATCAGATAGTGACAGAGACAGAGAGAGAAAGAGAGAGAGAGAGGCTCAGACAGTAACTAAAGCAAAGAGGTCAGATGAAATATCTGACTAACGGCTCCTCGCTAAAGCCTAAATCACCACATACGCAAACGAGACGAAGCGAGACAGCTGAAGATTAATTAGTAGCACTCACCACATTCTCTGTGCATTTTGCCCCGTGAAAGGTTTGCAAATAATAAAATTGACCTTTCCATGCTAACGCATCTTGATAATGCTAAACTACCGTGTGTAGGTGTTCTAATAACTGCTATTGCATAAAAACACCACTATGTGATGATTAAGGGGGCTTTGTGTAAGAATACACTTGTATGATATGTTACACAACCTAGAAACTTACAATCAGCGTATGTAATGTGTTAAAATAA